GTTTTCGGTGGCCGATACCCGGTTGAAACTCCCGAAAATGTTCCCGTTTTTGAATGTGTGTTAAAAAGAATAGAGCAAGGTGAAATCAAATGTTACATGTAAGTAAAAACAGAGTAACAGTGTTGTGCCTGTTTGTAGCGTTAGCGTACTTCTTCTTCTACTTCTTCTACTTCTAATTCAATGTACCTGCCCGTGAAATATTGGACAAAAGAAGCTCGGCTAGTAGTGTCCACTACTAAATCCATAGTATTACAACAAAAGTGCTTTAAACGAGGTAAGTTACGAATTTATGTTCTCAATCGCTAAGTGTGGGATTGAATATTAAATTAGTTTAGATTAGATTTATTGTCCCCAGGGGGGAATTCATTTCCACAGCACTGTTGAGGTAATCTGTATTATATAAACCGTATTGGTACAATGAGCGACATCTAGTGACGGATTTTGGAACATTGATTTGATTTTTCTCATGGCAGTTAGACTCTAGAGACAAACCAGGGGACTTTATTTTTATTTTTAATCTGTGTCTGTCCATTTGGTGTAGTATTTGATCCAATATTACATTTGGTTTATATATTAGTCACTTTCTTATGAAATGCCAGGTTTTAGGCCTTGATTTGAACATTCAATCCTGAAAAAAAAAAATCAAGATGAATGTTTCTTTAATCCTGACCTGACTAGAGGTAAGTAAATCTGTATAGGAAGACGAGTTAAGGGATAGAGGAGAAAAGGTTATGTTATAATTACAGAGCCTGTCCATTTATAAATTGAGGAAATCAATGTTAGTCTGTTAACCAAAATGCAGCCATCTAATAATGTACTATCTATTATTAAAGATCAGAGGAAAAGAACAGAATGAGAGGGGTAAATCCGGAATAAAGAAGCAAAGAGATTGTAGAGCAAAACAATTGTTGTGAAAAAGAAATATCCCCCTCTGATTTTTTAACAGCCCCCTCAGTCATTTCATCCTGGAGCCGGGCCTGCCCTATATGCATATAGTGGTGGCGCAGCGCCGCTGCTGAAATATGCGCGCCGCTGCGAGGGGGCGCCAGCCAGGTACCGAAACAAAATAAAAAAGGTTTTTTTTAAACTTTTTTTTTTTTAATTAAAAATAATAATAATTGCTGACCCTTTTTCATTTTTGATTGTTTGTTATGTGGATTTGTAGTATTTGTGTTACTGTATGCTCAATAAAGGTATATTTTTGCTAAATCTTGAGACATTGCCACTGTATGTACTAGGCAGGGCCGATTTTTGGCCTAGGCGACATATCTGGGGGGTGCTGCGCTGGTAGCTCTGGGAGGGGAAAAAACATTTTTGACCGTTGGCGCTCATCCTAATTTTCCTAAATTATGTAAACACATAAGGCTTTGAAACCATTCCAATGTATACTATAGGACAGTAAACCAAAAATATCGTTTAAAGTTGGAGGGATACAAAAATATGCATGAATAAATAAATGTTAACTAGCAAAAATAAAATAGTTACATTTATTTGTTATTGGCTATGTTAGGTTATTGGTTATGTTTAGGGTTGCAAAGGGGCGGAACATTTCCGGAAATTTTCCATGGGAAGTTAAGCTGGGGAATTTTGGAAATATTCGATGCAAAACTAAACAAAAAAACATGACATTTCAAAAAAAAAAAGTTTTAATTATTTTATTGAACAATTATTTGTTTCATTGAAGAACGAAAACAGAATTTTTTTTGTTAAATATTACTCATCCCCCCCAACCCCACTCATTAAAAAATGAACAAAAATGCACCCCCCATCCAAAAATTCCCACAAAGTCCCATTCAAAATGTTAAATGAAAAAAAAAAGAGCCCTTCTCCCTCCACAAAGTCCCATTAAACATGCAAATCTTCCTTCAAGCAATCCGCTGCATTTTTGCTAAACCCTTTCAGTCAACAGGCTCTTCCTGGGCCTCATCAACATCCAACTCTGAGTCTTCCTCTTCAGTGTCACTGTCCAGCCTTGTTGAGGATGGCTCTGTGTCCGGCTCAAAGAGCCTTAGGTTTGCCCGAATGCCAACCAGTTTTTCCACTCTCACATTTGTAAGCCTGTTGCGAACCTTTGTGTGGTCTCAATCAGTGACGTGCGGTGAGGTTCATGGCTGGTGAGGCACTGACTCTTTCAGAGTCAGATTTACAAATATAAGCTTTTTTAGTCTGATGCTTCGATTTATTTTAAACAGACCGTTCAACAAAAGGATACCCAAAATCTAAATATTGGATTGTTCTTTCTTAGTAAGATTCCATTTGCATTACAATTGTGGTCTGACCTTGACTTGAAGATGAAGTTCATGCTATCCTTCTGGACAACAATCTCTATTACTTTTTTGTAAAAGTCCTCCTTATCTTCCTCTAGTTTCAAAAGTCTAGTTTGTTGTTCGCGTCTGCGTAGAATAACAGTAGCAACAAGAACCTGTGGGCTCACTTGCGCCCCCTTCAGTGCGGCAGAGGTTGTGGCTGCCTCCCCTGGTTTTCATTGCGGATGTATGATGAGACCAGCGATCCTAAATATCATACGTGAAATAAGTTATTTAGAGACTATGGATGGCGAGGATAAATGTAATAAAGGGATCTACAAACATTACATTGGTGACATACAGTGAGGTGCAGGCATGCGCTTAGGGCCCGCTTTCCAGCCAGTTTCTGTGGGGTGACGCATTCTGAGGTGAGGCAGAGCTCATCTGTGCCTCACCTTACCCCAGAGTAACTGGCTCACAAAATAAGTGCCCGCGTTAAATTAGTGTCCGCGCTCCAGCCAGTTACTGTGGGCTTACGTGAGGCAGAGCTCGTCCCTGCCTCACTCCTCATCGCTCCCATGTAGTTGATGCGGAGCTCGGCCAATTTGCTGATTTTGACTATAAAAAGCGATTGGAATCAAACAGAAATCACACTTACAACACAGATCAGTGGAGACATTTTATTATTATTACTATTTAGTTTTTCTTTAGTTGTTTTTCCATTACATTGGAGTATGACAGGTGAGGCTCTGCCTCTCCTGCCTCCCCTGACTGCACGTCGCTGGTCTCAATAGCCATGCAGTAAGAAGTGTGCTATGGCATGGATATTTAAGTGTACTTGAATGGTATCTGTTTGTTTTAGTCAAGATTATGCTAAAATATACTTTCCCCAACTATATTTAAGTTCCCTATGAAGAGCCAACCTTCAATTTTGAAAATTCCCAGTTTATTTCCATAAATTCCCGTTTATTTCCGTTAATTCCCGTGGAAAGTTTCCATCTTTGAAAATTCCCGGAATTTTGCAACCCTTTTATGTTCATATACTTATTTGATTATTAAAATGTAAACCGATCTTTTTCAAATGGGTGTTTTAGAGTTGTACCCCCTAGATCAGGTCTCTAGTAATTGTGTGCTCAAAGTGCACCAGATTGAAGCATTTTACTTTATGTTCAAAAAAATCTTCTAATCTCTGCTAATATGCATGTTAATTAAAGGTCCCATGTCATGCTTTTCCAGTTTTTACCCTCAACATACACCCTGTAGCGAGTAAAACTCTAACACAGAAAAGACCTGTCTATGCTGCTCCAGAACGCCTCGTTGGAGATTTATCTTTTTCCATTTTTTTCTTTCTGGGTACAGTGACGTAACCATACCCAAATGGACCAATTGGTCCAAATGGACCAATCCGCGGAACCGTTACGTTACGTCCCTGTGTGAGCCCACTGAGACAAATGTAACATTTGTGATATTGGGCTATATAAATAAACATTGATTGATTGATTGAGCACACACACAGACTCACAGCCAGGCTGCGGGTGTGTGTGTGTGTGTGTGCTCGGGCTGGTTTTGGGCTGGGTTTCGCTGTGTCTCACTGTCTCGCCGACCCCACGCAGCAACCAGGAAACCAGCTCACACTGTCCGCTCCTCGCAGCAGCGAGCCTCGCAACGTCCCGTCAACACGGCACCCAGACCCCACGCAGCATTCTCATCTGTTTGTCATTACTGGTGTCATTTTCTGGTTGCTAACGCCATTGTAACACATAATCACTGATGTTCCGCTGTAACGGTGGTGGGCTCATCAGAACAGAGTGGGCGAGCTGACCAATCAGAGCACACTGGGCTCACAGGGAGGGGGGGTCAGGAGCTCCAACAAGCCGTGTAGGACAGAGAGTGAATACACATACTATACAGAGATGCTGTATGAGAAACCAATGTGAGTTTGGAACATTGCACAATATAAATCTATTTTAGTATACCTCAACAATGGAATTATGATCAGTAGAAATTGCCATGTCATGGGACCTTTAACAACTAGTTGATGGTGAATTTGTGTACCTTAATATAAAGTGTTACCAATAATAATATTAATAATAATGGTTATTAATGTTGTTATTATTTTTAAATGTGTTAGAATTCACCAATGAACATACTGGTAGATATTACATGCTGTTTGGAGAAACTCCAGCAGGCCCATCTGTACTGCAAAGGTTCCTTTCCCTGGCAGGCCAAGTGTTCTCATATCGACCTTTTCCTCACAAGCCATTTCTTTCCTATACTGTTAATTGTCTACAAAACCAATCTTAAAGAAGAAATATAAAAAACATGAAGTAAGTAAAAGTCATAGGCACAATGGAGACTGTGGAAAGTCTGCTCATAACAATACAAATAAATAAAAGATATAAAGAACACAAAAAGGTTCATACTCTTATATACTAAGTCACAGCTCCCTCAATCCTTTTAATAGAAAGAGTTAATCTCGAAAATGTATTGAAGAGAAATCATTTAAATAACTTTTTGGTTATTTTACCAGTGTTTTTGAAAGTGCAAAACACTCAAGTGCAAATTAAAACTTTAATATGTTGACAGATTTTATACACGTTCTGAAATTGTACCTTGTATGTTGTCTTGTTCTTTTTTGAGGAAACGTTTTTATAACTGATGTTCTAGTATTTCACTGCTGTAGCCAATCATCTGACTTTGTTTCACCTTTAAAAACTTGCAAGCAAGAAACAGCCCAAACCAGATCTTCACACAACACGCCCTGTGGGAGCACAAAGTCCTCATACTAATACTCAGGAGTCAGACATGGATTTTCTGGAGCAGGTAAGAGCAGCAGCTCAAAGAGCAGCTCTGAATGATCTTGCAAAAACTGAAATAAAACCGTTTTATGTTTTTTAGTCATCTTCAAAGTAATAACAAAAGGACATTTATCTTGAATAAATCAGATGTGCTTATTCTGTAAGTAAAGTAGTTTAGATCTAGTTAATTGCAATACTTATTATAAACACTTTTACATTTTCTTAGCCATCTTCAAAGTAATAACACAAGGACATTTATCCTTAATGAATCCGACTTTCTTATTCTGCAAGTAAAGTAATGTAGAGCTAGTTAGTAAGTGTGATATACTCAAATGTGCTTGTATATAAATGTGACTTTAGCCTTTGGAAATTAACATAAAATAACCTTGTTAAACACATCTTGCATTATTACATAATATAAGATTGCTTTCAATCAGCAAATATTTGTATCCAGAGCAAATTAGAATACGTGCAGTCAACCTAGGTGCAAGAACTAAATGTCATCAAGTTTGTTAATAGTCAAAGTCAGCTTTATTGTCAAGAATTCTACATGTTGTACATCCAGAAATATCGAAATATTGTTTCTCGAGGTCCTACAGTGTGACATATATACATCAAACAACAACAAAAAAACAAAGGGCCTAGATAACCGGGGTATACAGTTTAAAATGTGAATAATATGTTAAAGTGTTCAGCGGAGATGGCAGAAAAGTGACTGGTGCTGGATGAGGAAGGTTGGTTGTGTGTGTGTGTGTGTGTGTGTGTGTGTGTGTGTGTGTGTGTGTGTGTGTGTGTGTGTGTTTGTGTGTGTGTGTGTGTGTGTGGGTTAGAGTCCAGGACCATTTGGGGCAGGGGAGAAAGGTCGGAGGCAGGGTGGAGAGTTCAGGGGAGAGATGTCAGAGGGGGGGAGAGAGTTCATACATGACAACATCAGTATTTAGCATTAATGAAGAACTTGCGACATCACCTCTTACTGATTGGAATGTAGCTGAGCTTGCTTTCAGGCTGGACAGGGAGTGGAGCAGGGAGTGGAGCAGCGTGGAGACATAACTTTTAATGTCCTTTGTTTTGTAATGAACGCAGGTTGAAAAAATCACATCCATTGCCAAATTTGGAGACTTGATCGAATTTTCCTACCCTATCGGATATTCCCACTGGGGAGTGTATGATGAAGATGGATATGTTATCCATTTTGCTGTTGCAGGTGAGGACAATACGACTTCATAACATATATTTGTTTTTGTTGTTTGTCATTTAGCATTCGATATTAGAAAAGTTTGGCTGAGATGTCCTGTATTTCAAGTTTTTTTTAAAAGCATGACGCTGGGGAAGGAAAAACACCAGCCAAAATAATTACAACTCGATACAACTGATCCGGAAGCTATTAGTAAATAATGTTTTAGGGTTAGGTATTATGTATTGTGATATTATTTATACACATTATATCACATCTTCATCTGGATTGTTCTCTATCGTATTGAGACTATCTCTCCACCCAGCTACATATTCCATATGTGTCCCCACCTGACAGATGATGTGGATAATTATGTAACACAGCATGCAGTCACACTGGCATGCACGGGTATATAAGCAGGGTTCTTACGGTCATTCAAAACCTGGAAAAGTCATGGAAATTCAAAATGCTAATTCCAGGCCCTGGAAAAGTTATGGAAAACAATATTTTTCCCAAAGTTTTTGGAAAAGTAATTGAAATGTAACTAAAGTTGCATCAAATATAATTTATATTTTATCTAATCGCCAAAATAGTAATACTATAATGATAATAGATACTGTATAGTAATGAAACGTAAAATGGCATTTAACTGGTATTTAGCTGGGGAGAGATTTGATTTGCTTTAGCGTGTAGAAGCTAGTAAGCCTACTATTGGATTTGTTTTAGATAGGCACAACATGTTTCATATGCAGACCTTATTTTCCTGTTCCATGTTCAAATAAACCATTTTCAGTGGTTCCGCTGAGAAAGAGTCATTGTGTTGGTCATGGAAAATTAGGTAAAGGTCATGGAGAAGTCATTGAAAATCATTGGTGAAAAAGTGTATGAACCCTGTATAAGGCACAGGTGTGTGTGATCACTCAGCTTTTTTGATCTCCACTGAACAGTAGGCTATAAGATGTGTGTTTAAGCAGAAGGACAAAAATATAGAGAGATCTACTTACGAGACTGGGTGCGTTCACACCTGCCTTTTATAGTCCGGTTGAATCGAACCCTGGTGCGTTTAGCCGCTTGGTGCGGTTCATTTGGGTCGGTGTGAACGCAGTCCGAGACCTCTGAAGTGAACTAAACAACCGGACTCTGGTCCGCTAAAATAGGTGGTCTCGGAACGCTTTCTTGCGAACTCTGGAGCGGTTCATTGCTGGTGTGAACGCAGTCCGCACCAAAACATAGGAAGCGTAGTATTTACGTGTCACAAGAACGCGGATGTCTTCAAAAATCTTTAGCGAATGAGTCTTTCAAGACATCCGCGGTTGTTTAGTTAAAGAGTGAAGCAGATTAAGTGTTGAACAGTGTCGTGTAAAGTAAAAATTCTCCGTCAGATACATAAAAGTAAGAGCACCTGTCGTCGGTGAAACGCCCCTCCTTACTGCAGAACGTCTCTCATTATATGTGTTATAATGTTTTTTAACGCACGTTGTCTGATTATATAATCATATGCGCGGGCCGCTAGTGTCTGTTGATCTCCAGATTAACAGCAGCATGAGAATAACCTGCCGAAAGTGCCGATGCTCCATGGCGGAGGCTCCAGTAGAAATTGCCGGGAATTGCGTTTTTACCCCCTTAATGTCTCACCAATTGTTGAACAGCATTTCCTGCACATAACTTGTGTTTAAAGTTTATAGTCCGTTTGAGTTTTGCTAGTGTGAACGCAAACCGAACCTTATGAAAAAGGAAACAATGCAACAAACTGTCGTCTGGTGCGCACCAGAGAGCGGACTATTAACTGTGAATGCACCCTGACAGACATTTAAATCCGCTGCCCAGGTGCAGATGAGAGCTGGTCTTCGTCTCCTCTCAGGATTACTGTCGCCTCCGGTTTGTAGATTATTAAAAGATAAACAGGTAAAAAGAAGCTGACAGTCATCAGGCACACCAAAGGTGCTTTTACGTGGCGAGGCCCGCTGTCGCGCTCAGGTATAGTTGTAGAATCCAGCGTTGTCGGTGTGAAGCAGCGGGGTTTGCTGATCCTCTGCCAGCGGTGATAGATCGCACCATATCAGCGTATTGCTTGGCTGTGCCCGCTTCCGCGTCTGGGTGTAACTCCGGGGTGGAATCCGGCGTTGTTCGGTGTGAAACCACGGAGTGTGCCTCTATTATCACTTCAGAGAGTCTGTATATTTGTAGAGAAATACATATAAATATTCCTTAAAATGGAATTAGCAGGTGTCCAGGCTGTGGGGTGTGTATGCCCGCAGAAGATGGGCATGATCAATGTGTGTCTTGCCTGGGCCGTATAGCCACGCTGCGACGGCTCGAGAGGACCCTGCCTCCTGCGTGAATTGCTTCATCATGCCAGCTAGAACTAGGGAGGCAAGGTGCCTTGTCTTTAAAGGGAAAAGACCAGCCATTTCCACTCCGGCAGCTCAGCACAGCAAGAGAGCTAAACATCCCAAGGGGGCGGAGCTCAGGGAGCTGGGCTCAGGATTTAGATCAGGCCCCGCCCCCATTCCCACCCCTCCGTCCGCCAGGATGGGCAGGGCAGGGATGGCAGCCAGGCCGTACCCCCTGGCCACAGATATAGAGGAATAAGAGGAGGAGGAAGATGAGGCCGATTTCGATGTTGATGTTGAATCATTGTTCCCAGATACGGATGAGGAGGGCCTCTCTTCTGGTCAGCCGCAGGCAGGTCCAGAAGCGGAAGGCGCTGAGAGCAGCACACAATTGAGCCACCTCACTAGGGCTCTGGTAGAAAGGCTTCTAGAGCCCTCGGTATTGACCCCTTGGCAGAGGCTGACTCTGCCCCCTCCCTCTTTGATGAGGTTGGGGGGGCGTCTGCCAAGGGGCCTCTCACGAAATGGCAGGTTGTTTGCTGCAACTAAGAGCCGAGAGAGCATCTGCTGTGGCCAGTTGCCCCCATAGAGTGCCACAGTGATGCCTCGTAAAACCCGGAAGTAAGCTGCGCATGAGTTCCTTCGACAAAAAAGCAATGCAATTTCTCCATAGGATTTTGGAAAATAGCTCGAAATAAGGTCTGTGGTTGACACATATTTAAGAGACGGATCACGTTTTTTTTTGGGTGGACTAAGGATTGCACCACTGCTTTTTGCAGATGATGTGGTTCTGATGGCTTCATCGGTCTGCGACCTTCAGCACTCACTGGATCGGTTCACAACCGAGTGTGAAGCGGCTGGGATGAGGATCAGCACCTCCAAATCTGAGGCCATGGTTCTCAGCAGGAAACCGATGGACTGTTCACTCCAAGTAGGGAATGAGTCCTTACCCCAAGTGAAGGAGTTCAAGTATCTTGGGGTCTTGTTCTCGAGTGAGGGAACAATGGAGCGTGAGATGGGCCGGAGAATCGGAGCAGCGGGAGCGGTACTGCAGTCGCTTTACCGCACTGTTGTGACGAAAAGGGAGCTGAGCCAGAAGGCAAAGCTCTCTGTCTACCGGGCCATTTTCATTCCTACCCTCACCTATGGTCATGAAGGATGGGTCATGACCGAAAGAACGAGATCGCGGATACAAGCGGCCGAGATGGGTTTTCTCCGCAGGGTGGCTGGTGTCTCCCTTGGGGATAAGGTGAGAAGTTTAGTCATCCGGGACGGACTCGGAGTTGAGCCGCTCCTCCTTTGCGTCGAAAGGAGCCAGTTGAGGTGGTTCGGGCACCTAGTTAGGATGCCACCTGGGTGCCTCCCTAGGGAGGTGTTCCCGGCACGTCCAGCTGGGAAGAGACCAAGGGGTAGACCTAGAGATTATATCTCTTCGCTGGCCTGGGAGCGCCTTGTCGCCAGGGAAAAGAAAGTGTGGGGCTCTCTGCTGGAACTGCTACCCCCGCGATCCGACCACGGATAAGCGGGAGAAGATGGATGGATGGATGGATCACGTTTTGTTCGGATAATTTGGGATAATTTCCACATGTCTACCCTACTTTTCTAATTTTCTAATCATAAATCTAATCGATAGATTTATGATCGAAGGAACCCATGCGCAGCTTACTTCCAGATTGTAGGACGCGTCACTGTGGCACTCTATTGGATCAGGCTATAGCAGCTTTGATTTCGCCTCCAAAGTCCTTCCTGGGCATAGCGGCCACCCCCAGTAGGAACTGTAAAATGATGGATGCCTTGTCCACGAGTGTGCTCTTACTGATTTTATTTCCTGGTGTGACGACAGTTTTCTGGATTTAAATGTCTCTAAAACCCAGGAATTGGGAACTTTAGACGTCACAAGGATGTTCCTAAGGAGTGCATCATACACAATGACAAGGTTGAAATTGTCACATCATACAAATACTTGGGCACCATTTTCGATGACCGATCTTGAAACTCAAGGCCCAGGGGCCAAATCCGGCCCGCAACTTCATTTTATGTGGCCCCACAAGAGCTTGCAAAGAATATAATACGTTTTTTATATGGTTACATGCCACTTTACAGAAGCAGGTTGCCCATAAACCACATGTCCCACAATGCATCTCGTTTTGTGACATGCGCACTGAAGAGACTTATTATTACTGGGAGGGTCACAGGCGGTTCCTACGGTTCGCCTGCAAGGACAAGATCTTCTAATTCTGTGTCCTCCCCTTTGGGATCTCGCTGGCCCCTTGCACCTTCACCAGGTGCATGGACACGGTCCTTGGGCCTCTGCGGCGGACTCAGAATCCTGAATTACCTGGACGATTGGCTAGTATGTACCCGGACAGAAGAGCAGGGTCGCCGCCACGTGGTCCGGCTCCTGGAGCATATTCAGGGCCTAGGTCTTCACCTCAACCAGGAGAAGAGCAGCTTGGTGCCTTCTCAAGTCACACAATTTATGGGCATGGTTATAGACTCAAGGACCGCCACTGTGTCTCTTACCTGGGAGAGGCAGGAGACTTTCAGGGCCTGCCTGGCACATTTTTGCCTGGGGGCAAGGGTCACCTGGAGATTGTGCCTGCGTCTCTTGGGGCTGATGGCGGCAATGGTCCAAATTGTTCCATTGGCCCTTCTTTACATGCGCCCAGTACAGAGGTGCCTCCACAGCCTGAGACT